TTAATTTTTCATGTCAAATTTCATAACAGAAAAAAATAAATTTATAAATCATTTATTTTATATTTAGTTAACAAAATAAAATTAAGAATTAAAAAAAAAACGTGTCCGAGTGTTGACAGCGTGTCAGAAAAAGTTGACTGCGTGTCTCCAGATATTGACCGCGTGTCGAACGTGTGTCGGAGTGTGTCCGTGTCGAACACATGTCCTTGTTCGACACGCAAAATTTTAAAAAACTTGTGTGTCCGTGCTTTGGAGGTGTGTATAGAAAAGTGATACTATTTTTCTATAATATGATGCTTGTTTTTTCCTTTAATTAATTTGAAGAAGACGAAACAATAAAACAAAAGTAAATGGTAAATATGAGGCAATTTGTACTAAGACATTTCCTTTCATCTTGTTAGTGGAAATTAGAGTCAAGGGAGAAGATACCCAAATCCATATCCAGTACCTATGATGCATCGACACGAGACATGAAATACGACATGACACGACACTCCGACACGTTAATTTTAAAAAATGTTAAATTTTGACACGTTAGAACGTTTTGATATTATATAATATTTTTAATTTATGTAATATATATTATATTTAGTATTCAATAATTTAAAAAAAAAAGCTAAACTTATAATACTCATCAATTTTGCAAAGAAACATAATATATCTCAAACTTATATTAAACTCAATAAAATCGTAATCATAATCTAACGAATCTAATAGTTGGAACCATGGTAGTTAAAATCTGGATTTAAATCTTAAAATCCCGATTTTAACGATTTATTTTTGCTAAAACGATTTAGATTTCACTTAAAATCGTTTCCAATATAAAATTCCGATTTAGACATTTACTTAAGTCTCGATTTTAAGTTTTAAATCCCGATTTTAACTATTGGAATGATGTTAAGCAAGTTAGAAAGATTTATGAATATAACATTGCTGATGTTTCATCCGAAGATGAATGGATTGTGGAAAATGAAAGAACTTTATCGCATGATGAAAGTTTAGATGAAGACAATTTTGAATGATGTAGTTGAAGATCACGTGGAACATAATGTCTTCGATGATAATAACTTGAATGATTTACTAGCTTAGACCCTTAGAGTGTGACAATTGTATGCAAAAATGTATAAGGATGGTGGCAGGTAGTCTATTTTTCTTAATTTTTTTATACATAAGCATATGTATATAAATATTTAATTTTAGAGTGCAAGTAAAATTTACGATTTGTATTACGATTTTACGATTTACGATTTTTTATTTCCTTTCCGATTTTAGGTAAAATCCCGATTTTGACTACTTTGGTTAGAACTCAAAACGCAGTGCAACGTAATCTTTGAACATTTTTTGAGTCTTTGCAACAAGTATTGGAGTGTCGGAAAGTGTCAGAGTATCAGTGAATGTTGAAAAGTATCGGACACGACACGTCAGAATTTTTGAAATGTCGGTGCTTCATAGTCCAGCACTTCTTTTCCGCTTCTGATGCAGAAAACAAAAGACAGTTCCATTGTTCATTTTAACCCTTTAGATAAGTTTTCAGAAAAAAAGAAGAAGATTTTTTATGGCTAATGATTTTTTTAAAATTAAATTTATTTTCATTTATATGTAGTGTGTTGAGAATATTTTAAATTAAAAAAAATTCGGAGTTTAAAATTTAAAAATAATTTGATGTATAAAATTACTAAAAAAAACATGTGAAACTTTTTTTAAAAAAACTATTTTTTTTATATTTTTTAAAAATTAATTTGAAAAGTTATAGTTATTTTGTATTCGAAAAAGGTATATAAAAATAATTTTTGAGTAAAAAGAATTGTTTGGATGTTAAAATTAATAAACACTTTTTATGAATAAAATTAACAAAAAATACATGTGATAACAGGGGGGTGGGGGGTGGAGTTGGTGCAAAATTAAATTTCAAAAAATATTTAACTTTTGACTTCAAAAATAAAGAATCTTGGATTAAAAAAAGTATTACTTTTAAGTTTTTTTTTTTAGATACATAAGAAAGATTAGAATACTCATCATCTAAGCCACTAGGGTTAGTCTAGTGGTAAGAGATATGAGTGATTATGTTAGGTGATGTGTGTTCTAGTCCTTCCTCATGTATAAAAAAAGAACATATATCATCTAACACACTTATCCACATTTCTTACCATTAGGCTAATTCTAGTAGTTTTTATTTTATTTTATTTTTAAATTGCATCCAAATGCACATATTATATGAAAAGCACTTTTATTTTGAAAAAAAGTTGCTTCTTGGTACATATTATATGAAATTTTAGTTTGAAAAAAAATAATAAATTTTCTTGTGATTTTTACTTTTTTTAAAAATTAAAATCCAAACACTTATTTATAATAAAAAAGATAGGAGAATTGTTTTTTTATTTAACATGAGATAAAATCATTTTTCTACATACATATTAAGTGTTCTATATATATATTGAGTGATGAGATTTATTTATATTTTTTCTCTATCCTCTGTCTTATATATTTGAGTGTAGAAAAAAGATTTCTATGAGATAAACAATTTTCAAAAAATTAACTTTGAAAAAAAAAAATCAAACATGCTTTTAACTTTTTTCATACTCCCATTTAGGTAATGATTCTAGTAATGGAAAAAATCCACCAATAATAGCTTTTTTTTTTTGGTAGGTCACCAATAATAGCTTTTTAAGTGCCCACATGGTACGTTATTAATGTCTAATGAATAATGAGTGCGGGAGCATCTGAAAGGACATTTTGCGTAAAAAGAATCATATAAAATTGCTTTAAAGTTAAATATCAAAAAGAAAAATTGCTTTAAAGCTATTGCTCTCGGAGAAGTATGATGAGAAGAAAACAATTCCATAAAGCATAAACCATTAGTCAATGTCACTTCTTTTTCCTTCGAAAATTAATGAGAAGTAATATTGCCTCGCTAATCGATAAGGCCTCAGGCCTGTATTCACGTACGCTTGTCGCAATATGAGAATTGTGGACAGTTTCCCCTTTGTTTTTATTGTCCGTTTGGATGTGTGTGTAAAATTTTTTTTTTTTATATCTTATTTAGTTTAAGAATACTTTTTTATAAAAGTTAAAATTATTTACATTTTAAAAAATATTTAATTTTAGAAAAAAATATTTTTTTATTTTTTTTTTAAATTGAATATTTTAGCTTAAAAATAAAAGTTTTTGATTTTTTTTTTGTAACTTCTGCTTTCTTTTTTTAAAGCATACATCTAAATGAACTTTGAAGCAGTGTTTTAAGACCACGCCTCTATCCCGGTCGACCCGGGTTAATCCTGACCTCCTCTTTCTGAGGGTTGGGGTCAGAAATTAGACTCTGTATGCAAATGGTTAGAGGGGTCAATCTCTCATTGCATTATCTTTTTTAAATTTCACACGAAACAAAGTCATTTTGTAAAAAAAAAATTTGCTGCCAACCTAAATCCCATACGTCTTTACCTCGGTGGTTCCTCCACCTCTCCTCCACGGCTCCGCCTCTTAATGTGTTAAAGCCCAAATCAGAAGGATTTATCGTGGGCGCAGATAATAGTGGACTTAGAATTTTTTTTTAATGTCTGCACATTTACAATAAAAGAAAAAAGAAAAAAATTAAAGAAAATTTTAAATATATTAAAATACAAAAAAATATAAATAAAAAAACTTTAATTTAATATAAAAAAAGTAATCAAGAGTCAACTAAACTGTTATAATACAACATTTTGGGTCATCAACAAAAATTACGGGCCTCAATTTAATCTCTTAGGAAAAAAAAAATCTACTCGTAATCCCTCAGAATTCAAAAATAGATCCAGATAATCAAAATAATAATCCTCTGAAATTCAAAAAGACCCACATTAATCCTTCAAAAGGACTAACATGGGTTTATTTTGGAATTTAAAGGGATCACGAGTCAACTTTTTTTTAAGAGATTAAATTGAATCATATAATTTTTGTTGATAACGTAAAATATATATATATATATATATATATATATATATATATATATATATATATATTCAAAAAAATTGTGTGTGCACTTGCACACACTTGCACTCACCTACATCCGCCATTGGACGCACACCCCTGACCCGGGTTCACGGGTTAAGGCCATACCCAAAAAGGCTTCTCCTAGGTGACAAATTTGTCTTGGGGCTGAGCCTAAAAATGAACCCGGGCTCATACTAGGAACAATTATCAAGTGTTGTTAATAGATTAGTGGGCAATGTTTTTCTCATGTTAATGAGATACTTATGTAGAGACATAATTAGGTCGATCTCACAACTAAAAAAAAAAAATATTAGCTCGAATTTCGATGGATGTGTAACATGAGATAAGGTTTCTTATATGACGTAAGAAAAACATTTTTCTAGATTAATCCATCAACAATAAAAAGTTTAAGATAAAAGTAAAGTGTTTAATATATTTAACATATTTAATAAAAAATAAAAAAGACATTCTTTTAATTAATACCATTCAGATAATGGTTAGCAAAACTCTACAAATACAGAATATACCAAAATAAAAGTGTTTATTACATTAACTTTTTTTCTTATATATGAATTTTACTTATTAAAATACGAATCTTTATCTTTTATATAATTCTTGTAATTTTAATTAAAGTAATAATTAAGAAATTGTTCTTTAAAAGATCTAAACTTCAAATAAGTAAAATTAATGAAGACAATAGTCGTCATATGGAGTGATAAATTCTAAAGATGAAAATTCAAACGGAAACTCGTTTAACTTTGGAAATTGGTTAACCACAAAGATTAAAAAAATTAATATTTAATTCATTTAATAATAATAGAAGAAAATATTTGTCTTTTTAAAAAGATGATTATTTTTGTTAAAATTAATATTTTATTATTTAATATTTAAGTTACCTACTATAATTTCTATTTCTTTCATAATAAAATATAATAATTTTGATTAAAATAACATAATTTGATGCTCTTTAAAAATACAAACATTAATCCCTAATAATAATAATAAGAAAATCGAATATATATCTAGAAAAAAAGAAGAAGAAAGAATCCGAAGCTTCTTCTTCTTCTACCTGGATCCAGGTACTAAGGTGTGAGTGAATCATTTTCTCCGAGTCCAGTTCCTCATAGAACGGTGTCGTTCTGATCTTGATGTGTTGTGTTGTGTACCACCGCCGTTTATTTCTGTTGGGTCAAAGTCGTGGTTCCGAATCGTCCGTGACACGTTGTTTTCTCAACAATCCTAACTTCCTATAATTCATCTCTCCGTCTCTCGTGCTTCGCTGCCACGGTGGCTCTTCCGCATTCAGCCACCGCCACCGCCACAGTTTCAGCCGGAGAATACTAAATTTAATGGATAATTCGGTTTTCAACAGAGATGGTCACTTTACCCGAACATACTCCTCCCATTCTTTCTCTTCTCAGAGGGATGTCCGTTACAGGTTCTATTTCTCTCTCTTTTATATATAATTCTCATTCAATTTTTAACCCTATGTCAGGTTGTGGTGATTGGATGCATTGCATCATGTATGTGATTATCAATTAGCATAATTGTAACTTGCGTTATTGAAGTGGCGATTCTAATTTGTTATTGATTTAGGATGGAATTCAAGATTGGTAATACACATTACTAGTTTAGAACTTAACCCTTCTTTTATATAGCAGTGGTTAGACTCAAATGTTGAAGGTTTAAGATTATATGTAATTTAAATTGATGATCTTGTTTTCATGGAAGAGGAATAGGTTGTTTAGTCTTAATCCCATTGCATTTGAAAACAGCTATTCAGTTGTTTCTTTTTGGTTATGTAAGTGACGAGTTTGAATGAAGTTTGCTTATGTTATATGAAGTTTGATGATGATGGATGATTGTTATGCGACTTTCGTGAACTATATGTTTGTAAAAAATGATAGGAACGAGAGCATTATTTTTAATTATGATCAAATTGCCACGAATGGTATGCTCAAGCTCTATTTGGATCTTTGAAGGCCAAGCACTGAGCAATTAAAGAAGTTAGTTAGATTCCACTTCTAAGCTTTTTAGCCATTTCTGTTACTCATTTTCCAAGACTTGATTGATATCAGGCTGAGTGTTTGATGTTTTGGATGGTACAGCATGGGAAGAAGTGCTATAGTTTGAGTCTCTTAAAAATTGAAGACAAGGGTTCCATTGCATTTCCCTTTCATTGTAAACAAGCCTTAATCTTATCAGATGGACAACCAAATCTTTTTAACATGATACGTTGTGATGATTACAATGTCTTGTTCCAAATGCATTCTCTACTTTTGTCACTATAATTGTTTATATCAATTCATTGAAGAGTGAGCTTGTTATTTTGTTTTTGATTTACATGTGATGAATCTGGTATTTTGCACCAATTACAACCCGTTTTCTGTATATTTTTGGCAGCTGTGGCAGCTGTGGTTATGAGCTAAACCTTTCCTCCTCGAACCGGAACACCTCATCCATTGGATCTAAATATGGGAAGTCTATAAAGCGAGGTATTATATCATTCTTCAATATTGATGACAGCAGATTTACCCAGGTTGATGAAATTCAGTGTATGCCCCATTTTAATAAGCACTCATGGGGTTTGTTCCGTCGAAGAACTAAGCTTCTTTGTCGCAAGTGTGGCAACCATATTGGAAATGCATACAATGGTTACACTTCATTCTTCCCCCTTGTGTCAAATGGAGCAGAAGCGGCCAGTCATACAAAGTATGACGTTCGCATTCGTGCTTTACAGCCTTCATCTTCTGAAGAACCTGAAATCCCTGTGTGTGCTTGAGATACTTGGTAAAAATTGTACTCTGTTCCTTCCTACATAAGTACTTTCCGGCAACATGGAGGTTGGAAGTTCATTAATATATATACAGAGTTCTGGTTTGGCAAGGTTTTTGTATTTCCCCTCATCAAAATGTGATTAATAGCCGCATGTAATAGTTGTAAGAATTAAATTAAAAATAATTACAGGTGTGGGATTTTGTGGAGTTAATTAAATTGGCAAATGTGTTACTGGGGAGAAAATAGAAACTAAGAGGAAAAGGAAAGAAAAGCTATTTTTAAATGAATTGTTTGATTAATGTGGTACGAAGGATCCTATTTAACATCGGATATGCATTTTGTGATATTGTCTTAAATCATTTTTTATGTGTTATATTTTCTTAGTTGACAATAAATATTGAATAGTTGTGAATTTTGATTATGGAAACAAACCCCGGAAACAAAAGTGTTAGATTAGGCAAGAATTGAATTCGAAATAGATATTGAGGGTCAAACCTATATTGATTGTGGGACAAGCAATATGAGAAAATTAGTACTCTATAATGTATTAGGTAACATAGCTAAATAACAACTTTCTGCAGCATATGTTTTCTAACGTATTAGGCTAACAAGTTTACTTCCTTTCCTTGGTGCATCTCCTTCCTCTCCTCTGCTAGAGCTTGTTCCCATTTAACCAAACATTATATAATCCCTCGTCAGCATGCATGAATGTCTTCTATCTATTCTCAACGCTCTTATTTGAGCAACGTGCAGGACTTTGAGAAAAAATTTCGTCACTTAGTATTGATAAATGAAGTTGCGGATCCTTTCTCAAATTGTGTCAAGCTAGAAGGTCCCCTATAGTGTAAAGATTATAATAACACACTCAGATAATACGTCACAGCTCCTCAGGCTAAAAAAACCAAGTTTGAGTTCATATTAAAGTGATAATGGAGTTAATGAAGCCACACTACATTATACAAGTCAAAATTGGATGGACACTTCGCTCCTCATCCTTCGAATTCAGAATTTTTCCTCTTAATCTTTCAGACTATTGATTCGAATCTTGTCTGGGTCGCAAACGATTAACTGTATAGTATTAGAACAAAAATGAAAAGTGTAGACAACATATCGTCATAAATTGAATGAAGTAAACGTGTGGATTGAAAATAGACTTTGTTTTAGATCGTCAAGCCAACATGCGGATACAGTTTTTCCATTTTCGGTTGTGAAAATCAAGCGATCAACATATTATTAAAAATCTGATTGGAAGGGGAGGAAAATTCCAATTTATGTAAATCTACCTGTTTCCTATCAGGAATGGGGAAATTTTTTGAATGTGGCTTATGTACTCAAATGGGTACATTTTTTTTTCCGAATAGAGATTTTTTTTCCCATTTAAATCATTGTTTTTTTTGTTCCTTCTAAATCCCAAAAACTATCCCTATTTAACAAAGATGTAGATACAATGAATGTACGAAAAGGTTTTCTCATGGAACATCATGGCTCGGCTATGATTAACATGGGCCACAGCTTTCTGATTTCACTAATTGCTAGAATGTTCCTTTTCTTTTGTTTGGTGATTACATACACAAATGGGCAAAACACAAAAAATCAACTTGGAATTTGGAGCTTCGAAAATTCTAGAAATCTAATGAATCTATCTATCATCCATCTCATGTAATTTTCAAGAATCAAGTCGTAGTTTTCAAATTAGTAACATCACATTTACTTTAGACAAAGTAAAAGATGTAGAGAAATTATATATATTGCACGGTCAATCTGGAAGTATATCATCTGGCTCTTTCTGACACACAAAATTGTCTAAAATTGACCTTTACATTAGAAAATTCTACCTTTGTGGTACCATATAGTCTAGAGATCCTACGTCACTTCTTATCCCTCTCATGTACCCTATGGAGTTTCCTAGCACTCCCAAGTTTCACATCTCACTTGTGTCTTTGTTGGTGCTTTTATCTGCAGCTACCATAATATTGAACCCTGTATTTGCCACAAAAGATTGTGATTTCCCTGCCATCTTTAACTTCGGTGACTCAAACTCGGATACTGGTGGCTTGGCTGCTTCTCTTAATGCACCAACGGCACCATATGGAGAGACCTATTTTCACAGACCCGCTGGAAGATTCAGTGATGGCCGTCTCATCATTGATTTCATAGGTAATTAATGTCGTTTTTTACTTCTATTCCTGTGTGCATGTCTAATGTCTTATAAGGGGCTTCTTCGTTTAGAAAGTCAAGTTATGTAGTGAGTGGTAAATTTTACTTTTGTTCACCGTAACACACATCCAAGTGTAATTTTTGAGTTCTGTCAGCAACCCTTTCCATTATGAGGTTGAAAAAGATAAATGAAGTTTGCTGCTTAATTACTTCGTAATATTGCAGACCATAGAATATGAAGTGCATGAATGGATAAGATGGGTTTGTGGAAGTGGTAGCAAATAGTCTAGTATTAGGTCCACCAAGCATTAAAGCTTCTTTTAATGCTTACATAAAGTGATAAAACACAGTGAGAAGTGAGAACTTTAAATAGGATAGAAATGGCATAATATAAAATTTAGCCATAAACTTATATTCTGTATTTTTCAGGTAACCTACGGCACCATCCTTTACCACATGCAGGAATTTAATATTAATCAATTTAACACTATATTAAAGGTTTTAAATTCCAATTTTGATCCGTAGTTTTGTAATTTCAGCACAGAGTTTTGGGCTACCCTATCTAAGTGCTTATCTTGATTCCCTGGGGACGAATTTCTCACATGGTGCAAACTATGCAACAGCAGCATCAACAATCAGACCACCGCCTAGTATTATACCTCAGGGTGGATACAGTCCTTTCTACCTTGATGTTCAGCACACTCAATTTAGATATTTCAAACCCAGAACACAATTCATTAGACATCAAGGTAAATAAAGAACAAATATTCATTATCTATACATATTTTTAGGTGTTTATAAGGACACGGTTTATTTTGTCTTAATTCTAACTTTTCTTTGCAGGAGGCATATTTGCAAGCTTGATGCCCAAAGAAGAGTATTTTCCTGAAGCTTTGTACACATTTGATATCGGTCAAAATGATCTTGGTGCTGGCTTTTTTGGAAACTTGACTGTACAGCAAGTCAATGCTTCTGTACCTGATGTTGTCAACAGTTTCTCAGAAAATGTTAAGGTTGTTCAATACCTTTCTTAGATATTTTATTATTTAGCTAATATCTTAATTTATTGTTCTAAACTGATGAAACTTGGTGATCAAGAACATATATGATTTGGGGGCTAGATCATTTTGGATACACAACACTGGACCCATTGGCTGTCTCCCTTATATTTTAGCCAATTTTCTATCAGCGGAAAGGGATGGTTATGGTTGTGCAAAGCCATATAATGAAGTAGCTCAGCATTTCAACAAGGAATTGAAGGAAGCTGTGGTTCAACTTCGCAAGGACCTTCCTCTGGCTGCAATCACATATGTAGATATCTACTCTGTTAAGTACTCTCTTTTTAGCAACCCAAAGAAATATGGTGAGCCAAAATTAAAAATGATTCCATTCTCACATTCCTTTAAACAAACTTGCCAACATTGTTTGTCACTTGTTGAGTGTTTCATTGATGTGCAGGATTTGAGCACCCACTAGTTGCTTGCTGTGGCTATGGAGGGAAGTACAACTTCCGCACTAGTGTTGAATGTGGAGGAACCATAGAGGTCAATGGCACTAAAATTTTTGTGGGTTCATGTGAAAGACCATCTGTTAGAGTGAATTGGGATGGAGTCCACTACACAGAGGCAGCTAACAAGTTCATCTTCGATCAAATTTCTACTGGGGCTTTCTCAGATCCACCTCTTCCCTTGAACATGGCATGTCATAGAAATTCTAAAAACAATTGAGCTTTAGTTGCTTTTCAATGCAACGACTTGTGTTAGAAATAAAGTGTTGTTGCATATCAAGTCTAAATATTATAATTTATAAACACATCGATATTACTGTATCATATAATAAAAATTGAACCAGTGGTTTGATATCTCTCAAGCCCTACTTCTATATTTGACTTTTTCCATCTTGTAAGATAAATATTGCATTAATTTCTGACTTTAATATCTGTTAACATCAACAATACATTTATCCCACATTAATTGGGTCGGTTTAATATCTGTTAACATACATACTTAAATTTTCGTGGTAAGAATGCACTTACCATCTTCATAAATACTTTGCAATGAGGAATATCCTTTTTGAATTCATAAATTTTTGTTTCCAGTAACCCAAAGAAATATGTTTAGCCAAATTATAATGCTCTATTCTCACGGTCCTGTTACAAAGTTGCGTAAGATGTATCATGGATGTCACTGGTCGAGTGCTTTATTTACGTGTAAGATTTGAGCATTCAATTGTCACTTGTTGTGGCTATGGAGGGAAGTACAACATTGGAATTTTTGCTGGTTTATATGAAAGTGAAAGATCATCTGATGGAGAGAATTGGGATGGTACACATAGGCAGCTAACAAGTTTAATAAAAACAGATTAATAATGATATCATATAGTATACATTGAAGTAGATGTTGGATATCTCTCAGTGGCACTTCTCCCTTTTACATTTCCCCCCATCTTGTTACTTGTAAGACATATATTACATTAGTTTATGATTTTGATGTCAATTACATGCAAGCATGAACCTACATTCTATGTCCTGAGGCATATACCTCCAAATGTTATTGTATTAACATTTGATTTAATAGTAATGAAAATAATATGCATGAATAATGCATCAAAATTAAATGAGTTACGTTATTTGCACGTTACACCATTTTTTACACTTTTCTTGTTTGAGGGATTGAAAATTAAATGATGTATACACACAATCTGTTAGATTTTTTCGTATATGTTCTTGTTATTTTGCATTACCTTTTTTATTTATTTATAAATCACATGTATCCTCCACGAAAGACAATTATGTTCGAAATGAGTCAAGGCTTTAAACCCCTCATAAATATGGTATTGAGAAGAATCAAACATATATCATTTGTTTTTTGTTGTCTAACAACTATGGCATATGCATTAAATGCCCTACATTTCAAATTCCCTAAAATTATAGAGAGAGGTTATTCTGCCTACTTTTATTTTGCTATTTTTGCCTCTTTTTCAACACCGTTAGATTACAATTTCATCTATCGGTAGAGATTTATAGAATAAAATAAACTATTTTTCCTTTCTTTCTCCTAACTGTCTCCCACGCTCTTTCTCTCTACTCCCCTTTCTTTTTACCGATTTGCGTAATTTACAACATGAATTTATATTTGAATATAAATTCATACAATGATTAATGGCATGATAGTTCTGTTAGATGAGTATACTTTTCGAAAATTCTTGAATCTGATATAATTGAACACGACTGAAATCAAAAAATTACAAAAAAACGAAAACCTCGAATATCCCTTCATTTGAATTAATCTACGATTACCATAACGTTACTACTTTGTTGTTGATAATTGAAACGAATCAACTTATCTCCTTCTTCTTATCTTGTTTTTCACCTAGAAATAGGGAAAAGATCTATGTTCTCTCTATGTTACGCCCATCAACAGTTTTACCTGGTTCCATGACATAGGGCACCTGTGTTTATTTCTTTTTAACACCCCATTTCAATTTTTTTATGTAAATGTTCATAACAATGGCTGGGTTGGATGAATTGAGAAAAAAGCTTGCACCTTTTTTTATGCTGAAGCGCCATTGAAGAAAGAGAAAGGGGAGAAAAAATAAAGAGTAAGAGACAATGGGAGAGAGAAAGGGGTAAAAGAGTTTATATCGTAAATCTCCACCATTGGATGAGATTGCAATCTAACGATATTGAAAGGGGTAGGCAAATGTAGGCAAAATAAGAGTAGGTAGAATAACCTATCTTTTTCTATGCTGAAGCGCCATTGAAGAAAGAGAAAGGGGAGGAGAAAGAAAGAGTAAGAGGCAATAAGAGAGAGAAAGGGGTAAAAGAGTTTATATCGTAAATCTCCACCATTAGATGAAATTGTAATCTAACGGTATTGAAAGTGGTAGATAAATGTAGGCAAAATAAGACTAGGCAGAATAACCTATCCCAATTATATATATGTATACTCTTTTAATTAATTTGTTTTGTATAAATAGGTTATTATGTCTACTCTTAATTTGTCTACTTTTGCCTATCCTTTCAACACCATTATATTATAATTTAATCTAACAGTGGAGATTTGTAATATAAAATGGGATAGGTTATTCTGCCTACTCTTATTTTGCCTACCTCTCTTAACACCGTTAGATTACAATCTTATCCAACGGTGAAGATTTGCAAAATAAAACAAACCATTTTCCCCTTTCTTTGTTCTCATTGCCTCCTACACTTTTTCTCTCTACTCCCATTTCTTTCTATCAATTTGCGTAGTTTACAACCTAAATTTATATTTGAATCTAAATTCATGCAATGATGATAATTCTGCTGGATGAGTATAATTTTCAAAAAAATTTGAATCTGATAAAATTGAAAACGATAGAAATCACAAAACTACAAAATAAACGAAAACCACGGATAACTCGTCATTTGAATTAATCCATGATTACCGTATTGTTTCTACTTTGCTATTGAAATTTGAAACAAATCAACTTATCTCCTTCTTTCTTATCTTGTTTTTCACCATGAAATGGGGAAAAGATCTATGTTTTCTCTATGTTACGCCCAACAACAGGCCTACCTGGTTCCATAATATAAGGCATCTGGGTTTATTTCTTTTTGACACCCCATTTCAATTTTTTATATAAATGCTCATAACATTGGCTGGGTTGGACGAATTGAGAAAAAAGCTTGCACCTTTTTTTGATGCTGAAGGGCTATTGAAGAAAGAGAAAGGGAAGGAGAGAGAAAGAGTGAGAGACAGTGGAAAAGAGAAAGGGGTAAAAGAATTTATTTTATATTGTAAATTTTCACCGTTAGATGAGATTATAATCTAATGGTATTGAAAGGGGTAGGTAAAAGTAGGCAAAATAAGAGTAGGCAGAATAACCTATCCCATATAAAATAAACCTTTTTAAATAAACCCTTTTACCGATTTCATCCTCCTTCCTGTCTCTCACCCTTTCTCTCTCCTCCTCCTTCTCTCTATCGACCAAAACAAAGACAACTCATTGTATTGTAGAATTGTATTTAGCGTTTCTCTTTTAAATAATAATATATGATGATGGAACTCATTGTATTGTAGAATTGTAGCAATTGAATTAGCAAAACAAAAAAATCGATTAATGAATTTGTGCCCGCAACTCATTGTATTGTAGATAAATCAATCAACATTTTTGTTTTCTTTCTCAACCATGGAGGTCTCCACCCTTATTCGCACCATTCAACAATTAGAGATCCCTGATATGAAAATTCTTCTTTTTATTTATTGGATTTTCTTCATTTTGTCGATGATTAGAATTATGGGAATGAGGTTGCACCCTTTTGCTATCGCTGTCTTAAACCTGTTTTAGGTGTTTAGAATAATTGATTTTACAGTAAAATGAATTATGGAGAAAGGAGAGGAGAGAGAAAGGGTGAGGGAGGTACTGAGGAGAAAGAAAGGAGAAAAATATTTATTTTATTCCGCAAATCTCTACCGTTGGATGAGATTATAATCTAATGATATTAAAAGGAGTAGGCAAAGATAGAGAAAATAAAGGTAGGTAGAATAACCTATCCCTAATAAAAATCCATTGCCAAATTTGATTGTTCAAATAAAGAAATTTATAAACGAAGGGAATCTAATTATTTTTTCCAAACAAAATTTTATAATTGAAGGAAATCTAATTACTTTATTCAAATGAAGAATCTTACAAACGGAGAGAATTTACTAGGGTTGTTTGGAAGAGTAAATTTTTTTTTTATCGAGAAAAAATAATTTCTGAGAATATGGTGGGAATTTACTTATACCAAACACGGAAAAAAAAATTCCCATCCCATTTTCCCAGCATTTGAACAAAAAACCTTGTACCAAACCCCCTCGGGGCGTTTGGTAGAGAAGATTTTTTTTACTGGGAAAAAAAGATTTCTGAAAATACGGTGGCAGATTTTTTTTCCTGATAAGTTACGATAAGGTATTTGGTAGATCCAAAATTTTTCCGGGAATGTTAGGTTAATTATACTGATACTATGAGAAAATAAAAACACCATATATCATATGGTATTTTCGTTTGGAAATATAATGTATAAAATGGAATGATGGGAAAAAAAGTTTCTTGAGATTATTTTCAGTTTCTTTGTGCCAAACATTTGAAACAAATTTGCCCTACTTCACTTTTCCAAAATTTCTAGGAAAATTCCCATATCAAACTGCGCCATTCGTTTCAAATTCTTTTCCATTCCTTTCAAATTCTTTTAATCATCTAACTAAACAACTTTGAAAATGAAGAAAATATAATTATTTTATTCGAACAAGAAATTTTATATGTGAAGAGAATTTAATTACTTTATCCAAATATTTTATTTTATTTTTTTCAAATGAAGAGAATTTCACTAAAGCATTTTTTTATTTTTTAAGAGTAAATACCTTTTTGGATCACTAACAAAAAACACAGTCCCCACTTTAGTCCCTTACAAAAAATTAGTCTCGAAGTTTCTAAGAAATTCAAAATAGACTCATTTAGTTGGAATCATAGTCCCTCACAAATTCAAAAAAGATCCACATTAATCCCACTAAAATAGGTCCACTTTGAATTTCATAGGGACCAGACGACTATTTTTTTTTTGTAAAGGACTAAAGTGGGGACCATTTTTTTTGTTAGGGACCCAAAATGGTATTTACTCATTTTTTAATATAATAATCTTAGGAGATGTTATATTTACTATTTTTTTTCCTTACTACCAAATCTTAATCGTTAATTTTCGTCAATCTAACGATTATAATTTATTGGGTCATACTTATTAATTAAATATTAAATTTCAATAAACTATAACCGTTAAATTAGTGAAAATCAACGGTTAAAATTTCATAATAAGATATAATAAAAAAAAATGTTAAGTATAACCTTTTCCAATAACTTTGTAAAGAACCTTGGATACACCACTCCAAAAGCTAGCTCAAAGGGTGGGAGTGTCCAAGTCCTTATAAAGTCCACATTAGTTGCACATACAACCAATGTGGGACTATATATCTCAACACGCCCCCTCACACGAAAGCCCAATGGGCTTGAAGAGTGGACAATGCAACAGGCCTAACCTACCTGTGCTAAGAAACGCCACAAGAGAAAGTGGGGGGCGGCGAGGCTATGATACCATGTAAAGAACCTTGGGATACACCACCCCAAAAGCTAGCTCTAAGAGTGGAAGTTTATAAGGCCTTAGGCACTCCCACCCCTTGAGCTAGTTTTTGGGGTGGTGTATCCCAAGGTTCTTTACATGGTATCAGAGCCTCGCCGCCCCCCACTTTCTCTTGTGGCGTTTCTTAGCACAGGTAGGCTGAGCCTGTTGCATCATCCACTCTTCAAGCTCAATGAAGGTTCTTTACATGGTATCAGAGCCTCGCCGCCCCCCACTTTCTCTTGTGGCATTTCTTAGCACAGGTAGGCTGAGCCTGTTGCATCATCGACTCTTCAAGCCCAATGGGCTCTTGTGTGAGGAGGTGTGTTGAGATATATAGTCTCACATTGGTTGTATGTGCAACTAATGTGGAGTTTATAAGGCTTTAGGCACTCCCACTCTTTGAGCTAGCTTTTGGAGTTGTGTATCCCAAGGTTCTTTACATGGTATCAGAGTCTCGCCGCCCCTCACTTTCTCTTGTGGCGTTTCTTAGCACAGGTAGGCTGAGCCTGTTCCATTGTCCACTCTTCAAGCCTAATGGACTCCCGTGTGAGGGGACATGTTGAGATATATAGTCCCACATTGGTTGTATGTGTAACTAATGTAGAGTTTATAAGGTCTTGCGCACTCTCACCCTTTGATCTAACTTTTGGGTGATGTATCCAAAGTTCTTTATAAACTTTAATTATGTTTTTGAGGAAAATGGCTTCCCAAATATCCTATAAATTCTATCTCTTTAAATCAGTTATGATATAAATCTCCAATCAGGGCTTACTTGCATTCATAATAACTCTGTCCCGATTTTCTCCCTACCTACTTGTTGCCGATTACGCAACACTGTTCATTGGTTCAGTAAAGCATTTAATCTTATATCTAACCACAGCCGTAAATTAAAGAGAGTAGGTTTTCAGGTTAATGACGCGTAAGCATTCGTCAATGTACCAGCCACCGCCAATATAACTTGATGTGGAGATCCAGTTTATTTATTATTCTGAAACGTCACCCTCTCTCTTATACGAATATGAAAACCTAAGCTTCCTTTGTGCTTCGCCGACATTAATAATGTCTCAAATGGAGTTTCTTAGCATTACCAAGTTTCAAATCCCACTCGTGTCTTCTTTTGTTCTTTTTTTAACTATTGCTACCACAACACTGAACCCTGTATTTGCCACGAAAGCTTGTGATTTCCCTGCCATCTTTAACTTTGGTGCCTCAAACTCTGACACTGGTGGCTTGGCTGCTTCCCTTCTACCACTAAAGCTACCTTATGGTGAGACCTATTTTCACAGACCCGCTGGAAGGTTCTCTGACGGCCGAATCATCATTGATTTCATAGGTAATATGGTTTTTGTATTTCACTTACATTTTACATGTCTTATGTCTTAACATGGTACTTCTTTGTTAAGTGACATATCACTAATGGTAACGGCCCACGTAGATTTTGTGGCTCCTTTGTTGTTGGACGATGATAAAGGACGGTCAACGCTTGCATTTTGCGCTCTAATAGATCCATCCATCGAACTTTGAAGCCCCTTTTAGCAAACGATTTGACGAAAAGGACCACCTTATATATATGATACAAACTGAGGACTAATACAAAGGGTAGAGAGATAGAGTAACATAATTTTTAGCCATGAACATTTTTAGAATTTCCCAGCTAAATATATTTTACATGTACCAACTAAGTCTAAGCCCAAATCACTTAATTATCAAAAGGTTATTGCCAAATGAAGGATTTTAATTCTAATTTTGACCTCTAATTGTGTAATTTCAGCACAAAGTTTTGGACTTCCGTATGTCAGTGCATATCTTGATTCATTGGGGACCAACTTCTCACGTGGTGCTAACTTCGCAACAGCAGGATCAACTATCAGACCCCCACCTAGTAGTAGTATTATTCCTCGGGGTAGATTCAGTCCTTTCTACCTTGAAGTTCAGTACACTCAATTCAGAGAATTCAAACCCAGAACACGATTCATTAGACATCAAGGTAAAATGAAGAATTTTTATTTTCATTAATATTTTTTTTGGTGATTATGTGTTCTGATTAAGGACATGGTTTTGCTTGTTTTTGTTCTAATTTTTATGGGAAGGAGGAGTATTTGCAACGTTGATGCCAAAAAAGGAATATTTTCGTGAAGCTTTATACACATTTGATATTGGTCAAAATGATCTTACTGCTGGCATTTTTGGTAACTTGACCGTGCAGCAGGTCAAAGACTCTGTACCTGATATAATCAATAGTTTCTCAACAAATGTTAAGGTAGTTGAATAATACCCTTTTATAGATAAATTTATAGTTAAGTGATTTATTAATATCTTGTTCTAAAATGATGAAACTTGGTGATCAAGAATATATACAATTTGGGGGCTAGATCATTTTGGATACACAACACGGGACCACTTGGTTGTCTCCCTGTAATTTTGGCAAATTTTCTATCCGCTGAAAGGGATAGCTATGGATGTGCAAAGCCATATAATGAAGTAGCACAGTATTTCAACAAGAAGTTGAAGGAAGCATTAGTTCAACTTCGTGAGGACCTTCCTCTGGCTGCAATCACATATGTAGATATTTACTCTCCTAAGTACTCTCTTTTCCAAAACCCAAAGAAATACGGTGAGCCAAATCAAAATTACCCCATTCTCACATTCCTATTAATATTGTCAAATTAACTTACCTACAATTAATGTATGTTTACTTACTAGTTGAAAGCTTCATTTACATGTAGGATTTGAGCTCCCACTCGTTTCTTGTTGCGGCTATGGAGGGAAGTACAACTCCAGCAATAGTGCTGGATGTGGTGGAACCATAGAGGTCAATGGCACTGAAATTTTTGTAGGTTCATGTGAAAGACCATCTCATAGAGTGATATGGGATGGGACCCATTACACAGAGGCAGCTAATAAATTAATCTTTGATCAAATCTCTACTGGGGCTTTCTCAGATCCACCCATTCCCTTGAATATGGCATGTCACAGAAATTTCACTATTACCTAATTAGATTTATAGTTGCTTGTCGTTGTTTGTATTAGAAATAAGGTGTATATTTTCATGTGATTTCTAAATGTTAATTGTGACAAGTCTCATAAAATTTTGATTCATTAGGGAAACACTTTATGTTATGGTCACTATCTTAAAAAACAAAATTTTTGTACCCAAAAAATAATAATAATTTATTGTTGTAGACGCTTTATTTTTTTAGCACCGTTCACCGTTCACCGAATGATGTTACATAACAACCGGTCATCCCAATCCCACTTTCTTTATGTATAAATATCCCTATGTTACATGTCATTCCATTTCACTCTCACTTTCAACTTCTCAGACTCTCTCTCCGCTATCAATTCTCGAGATTTGTATCAACTTTTTTTATGAATTAATTAATTTTGTTTGTAGTAATTTAGTGATTAGTGATTTAATTAGTAATTTTATAATTAGTTAATTATTAATTAATGTCTAGTTTGTTAATTATTTTTTGGTTTTTGTTAATTAGTTATATAATATGTAATGTTTAATTAATTAGTTAATAATTTTAATGATTTATTAAATATTATTAATTAGTCATGTAGTATCGGGTTATGTCATTCCATCCCTTTACTGTTACACATTATTTCACCCGTCATATCCGAAATAAATGTTAACCTAAGCCTATTTTATCTCCTATGTCTAAAGTGGTATCAACATCCTTGTAATTTATCCGGGTACTTATAGCTCATTTTTCAAATCAAATCTATATATCTCAATTCGCTCTAACTACTAGGGAAAAATATAAGAATAACTCCACTAATTCATTGAGAGATCAAGTACATAATGAACATAAATGGAAAGTGATATGAACACTAATTCATTGGTTGATTTATAAACCGAGCTAAAGGCATATTGTTATGAGATGAATCAGAACTTAGGATAAGAGAAATGATAGCTTAATTTGTAAATCAAGCATAGGGTAAGTTGGTTTAAGAATAATAATATATTAGGTTTCTAAATTAATAGGGGTGGTGTATGATGATCTATGGAGTGCTTGAATCAGCATAGAGATGAAGAGGGTTGACCCACAACATAAGTGATTAAGAAATATTTTAAAATGTGTGATGTGAAAAGTACGATTCTGCATGGATATGGAGGTGTGGGGTAACAAATCTTCAATAATGGAAAAAATGATAATGTGTTATAACAATGAGAAAACATTTTGTGATGTAATAATGAGTAAATAATGAGAAGTACAAAAAGCCCAATGGTCCAGTTTAAAAAAATATAAAATAAGCACACAAAAATTATTTATAAAATGATTTTCAAGATATAATTTGGCATAAATAAAGAAAATATCAAAATCTTTTCTTGATGTTACACAGCAAGAGAACAGGACTCCACTACGTTGATAGTCTTTCTGCCAAGGAGTGGCCAACTAACCTAACATGGCTGCATTTAATAGGCAATAATTTCCTCTAATATCTTCAAGGCAGCTCCACTTTATTGGAAATTCATTGCTTCTCACATTGGTGACTACAGTACTTAATAGTATTCCTTTTCTTCCATCTTTATCTTAACGAGGTCCACCAAAATTGTTATTTGTTACCCCCAATAGGGTTCTAATAAATGTTTTCCATAAGATTGAATAGTAGTTTCAACTCAATATTTTATCCAAAGCCAGTCTCAGATTTCTCATCAAAATATAACAAGTTCAAACAAATTAAAATTTATTAATATATTTAAATGAATTCATCACATAAATAACTTTCTAAAAATAGATAAAATTCAAATAATCATTAAGATGCAAATATTAAATATTATATTTTGATGATATTATTTGAAGGTCACATGATCATTTAAAATAGTCATAACAAAGTTACAAAACATGATATTTATGGGAATAATGCTGTTGCACTGATCTCCATGTTCACATAAAGCACCCACCCCACGTCTAGAAATGTTGGATTTTGATGCAGAATCTCGTTCATGCTCAAGATGCTACTAGTATCTGAAGATAGAAGATTTGCAATCCCTGCAAGCGTATCATTCGGCTGAACTGTGTATGTAACAATAATATGAGAGTCGCTTTCTGGCTCTGCACACCCACACACAAGATGTATTGGTAATTCTTCATCCGGGAATATTGCACCATTAATAGGCAAGGCTTGTCCACTATAAATGTTCTCTGAGATATTAAAAAAAGTGTCATTTGGCTTCACTTTATAGGATGTGTCATAGAAATATCCACTAACGTAGCTGGTGTATTTTTTGCAAGAACAAGGTACGGTTATGAGGTAATCTTGTTTGTTGTCACGTGTTATGGGCTTGATTTGTGTGGAATTAACGGAGTAAAAAGAAGCAATTTCTTCTATCTTATCATTGTGATCTATGTGGTATAGTAAGGCATTGCATGATTTGATCTGCGCAGAACAATTAAAAGGGTATATAACTGAAACAGTTGGTTCAATGGAAGCAAGAAAAGCAAAAACTATAATAAACAATGTTGCTAATAGAGGAAAAAGTGGAGGAAGATAATTAAAGGAAGCCATTGCGTCCTTTCTGAAGAATAGGTACGACAAATGCAAAGATAAAGCTAATTAGGCATTGAATTTAATTTATAGTCAATTATCTCTTTATGGACTTGACTATGTGACAAAATGAACTTAGGATTTCACGGTGGTTTATTATAAAAATGCTGCTGCTCGATCGATCATTGCAATTTGTTGTAACCTACGACATAAAAGTTATCGTTAAATTATAAAACACAAGTTTAATTAAGTGCAACCATTGAAGACAGTGGGTGATTTTATATCACTAAAAGGCTTAAACCAGAAGAGAGTAGATGATCAGAATTATCACTGTGCAATTATAAATATTTAAAAACAGACTTACTTGTAGTCAGTATAAAGAATCAGAACAGATGAATGTATGCAGTAGAGGAATTAAATCTGAGCCCACAGAACGTGTCTCCTTAAGACAATTTGCTCCCTCACTGATGTCCAAGGTTGATGGACACTTGTCTCCCAGGATAGAATGGATTTCGTTTGAAGAATGGTGGCACTACCAATCAACAGCCCAAACGAACACAACTGAATGCCAGAGGAAATCACACCGGAGTACGAAAAAGGAATATGCAAAACCAGAAGGAGAAAAATTCCGGCAGAGTTTCGGTGCAGAAAAAATTGGATCCATTTTCTGAAGGTGTCAATGTCTATTTATAGACAACGTAAGGTCACGTTTCAAAAGGCACTTATTCGACGACGAAACAACACATCCGTTGGACACGAAAAGACACTCATTCAAGGATGAAACAACATGTCCGTTAAGGTGAAACAACACGTCCGTTAGGATGAAAAGATACATCTGTTTGTCGACGAAAAGACACACCTTTTCACTACCAAACTTCTTATTCATAACCAATAGATTGTCTACACAATTTATATATATAAATTCTAACAATCCCCCACATGGATAAGAAGTCAAATCATCCTGACAAAAAAAATGCATAAGAGTATAAATGCAAAGTGTAATTTCCTCAACGAGAAACAACTGCATCGAGATAGGTGGAGTTACCTTTGAACCTTCTCTAGTGAAAACCTATTGGATATACTCGGTCAATCGGTGGTCTAAGTCGACTTGAACCGTCAACCTTTAGTGTATACCTAGACAATAGGAGTCACACAATTGCTTCTCTAGCATCGTTGGTCCTTTCTTGCGCCCATTTTGGCCATGGGACACCCGCCTGGTTCTGCGAGTGTTTTTAGAGAATCGGCCTTTGAAAAATTCTTATAGAAGCGGCCCTCACTTCACACTCACATAGGTGATTTCTTGTGATGTACCTCACTATACATCATCTGGACACAACAGATTAAGAAATCATTAAAAGCCTAAGTTCTTATCCTCATAAATACACTGTCTTGTCTAAGGAATGAGTATGAGCTTAAAAACTCCACAGTGTTTAAACAGTCGACCATCACTTAGTTGTCTCTTTGAACCTAGTTCATGGGATCTCCACTCTTCTAGGTAGAGTTACCGCAATGCTCAACAATTGATAGGCCTTAAACCCATTCCTTTCGACAAATTTTCAACCAACTCTCTAGGAATCCCTTTGGTTAACAGATCCGTTATGTTCTCTTTAGATTTAATATAGTCAATTGTAATGATTCCATTCGAGAGTAGTTGTCTAACGGTATCATGTCTACGACGTATGTGTCTAGACTTACCGTTATACATGACGTTCTTGGCCCTTCCAATAGCTGCTTGGCTATCACAATGTATGCATACAGATGGTACCGATTTTGGCCAATTGGAAACATCCTCAATAAAATTCCGAAGTCATTCGGCTTCTTAACCGGCCTTATCTAAAGCAATAATTTCTGCTTCCATGGTTGACCTTGCAATGCAAGTCTGTTTGGACGATTTCCAAGACACAACACCTCCACCAAGGGTGTACACATATCCACTTGTGAATCTAGTGTCGTTAGAGCCGGTGATCCAATTTGCATCACAATATCCTTCTATAACTGCTGGGTATTTCTCGTAATGCAAAGCATAATTTTGAGTATACTTCAAGTATCCCAAAACTCTTACCATAGCTTTCCAATGATTTTCATTTGGATTACTGGTAAAGCGACTTAACAAACTTACTGCATACGCAATATCAGGTCTGGTGCAGTTCATAACATACACTTCCCAACACTTGAGCATATAGCTTTTGTGTTGTAGCTTTACCAGTGTTCTTTAATAAACTAAGATTAGAATCTACAGAGTTCCTCACAGGAGTTATATTCAAACGTTTGAATTTCTCAAGAACCTTAGCTATATAGTGAGCCTGTGATAAGGCCAACCCTGCAGATGTACTATGGATTTTAATACATAGGATAACGTCTGTTATCCTCATATCTTTCATATCAAACTTACTTTTAAGTAATTCTTTAGTAGCTTTAATCATTTGATTATTACTACCCATGATCAACATGTCGTCTACATAAAGACAGACAATGACAAATCCTTTTTCAGTATTTCGA